GCGCGAGCCCGCGGGGAGCTGTGGGGCTTGCGAGAGGGTGACTTCTCAAAGGCGAGGAAGAGGCTGGAACCAAAGCCTCTGTCCATCGAGAGGACTAAAGGCTCGGAGATCTTATTTGGGATCGCACCGTGTGCCCTGGCCCTCTCTCAGTCAAGGAGGGACCTGTTCAGGTTGTTCCTCAAGCAGAGCAGCGGCTCCCGGCAGCTTGTTACGAGTGAGTTTGTCCTTCAGGCCACGGCCCGGGGAGTCCCTGTGCACCACGTCAAAAGGAGAGAGCTGGATGCTCTTTGCAGAGGTCGGGTCCACCAGGGAGTTTGTTTGGAGGCCACTCCTCTCCGCTTCAAGAGTTTGGAGGAAGCTGAAAAGCCCAACTCGGGGGATGAAGAGAATCCGAACCGACAGCTGATTTGGCTGGTGTTGGAGCAGATCCAGGATCCCATGAACCTGGGGGCACTGCTGCGCTCTGCGTACTTCTTGGGGGTGGACAGAGTGGTGACAAGCCAGAGGAACAGGTACGGGGTTGGTTATCTGCTCCTTCAGCTTTCCTCTTTCTTTTCCTGCTGGCTCACAAAGAGGTTTCTAGCCTGCATTGCTCGACAGCTTCTTTAGAGGGCTTTCTGGGACTGAGCTTGAGAGCTGAATTTGGCTGGGTGCTGCTTTGCAGGGAGGCTGCGGGACGTGGTGTTCCAGGCTGGTAAGGAACCTCCCTGGGTACTTTCTGTTTTAACCCATTTTGTGTTTCAGTTGTCCATCTGTGCACAAAACTGCTGTAACCTATTTCCTGGGTTAATTTCTGAGCTCTCCTATTCTCCATAGGAAAATATATCCACATAGGGAACAAGATCTTTAGTGGACTAGTTGGAATTGGGTTGCAGAGGCAAGAGAAGGGAATACAGAAACAAAAATTCTCCTGGATTTCCTTTTTTGCTCTCATATGACACTTTTCCTTTCTTTTTTCCTTGCAGCTGCCCCTTGACTCCGACAGTGAGCAAAGCTAGCTCTGGAGCTATGGAAGTCTTTGATATCTACAGCACAGATGATCTCCGGAGCTTTTTGAAGGTAGAATGATCCACATTTTTTTTTCCTTTCCTTTCAAGAAACCTCAAATACTGCATTTGCTGAACAGAGAGGAGGTACAGGAAAAGGGCTGTTATTTGCAGTGTCCTGTGCTCCTGCTCTGCGTTCCTGTTTGCTGCCGGTGGTCTGTGCTGTTGGACCACCTCTGATGGGCATGCACCCCCAGCCCTTTTCCACTGGGAGGGGTAGCAGGTCTGAGTTGTGGGTCTTTTTCTGGGAGATGGCGATAGCAGGATAATGCTGTGTCTATCTCCCGTACTCAGGCTGTGAGCTCGGTAAGACGGGGTCTGTCTCCCTTTCTCTCCGTGGGGACCGGAGCTAGCGCTGTCTTGCCCGACGTGTGGCAGAGGCAGCGTCCCGGGGCCCAGGCACACGATGGCAGCATCGGGCAGCCTTTGGAGCAGGGGAGAGAGGAGAAACCAGGGCTGGTGCGAGCTGCTGGGAATCTTTTTACTCTGTACCTATGCGGTGAGGTGAGATAGGGCCCTTTGCAGAATGGTGTTGCAAGAGGAGCGGGAATGCACGTGGAAAAAAATGATTTAAACTGAAACAAACCCAGGGAAGTTGCTTTGAATTGGCAGAGTGCGTCCATCCCCTGTGATAGCACCGTGTGACTGCCCCGACTCCTCGTGGAGGTCCCCTGTGCCTCCACACAGGGCAGGGCTGGGGACCGGCTGAATGCTGTGCGCACGCGGAGCAGGGAGCTGCAGGCTCTCATCTGCCTTCCCCTATTCGTGTGGGATCCCCCAGCCCTGGGGGAGAGCGGGGTTAGAGGGTTCAGCATGGGGTGGGAGGGCGGAGGCTGTGGATCCTTGGGGGAACAGAGGCACCTGGTCTGCGCTCCCGGGGTCGCTGCGTGCCTGTGTCCCTTTGAGGAAGAGCTTGTCATAGTCTGGTGTGACCGCGAGGAGGCCAAGCGGAGGTAAGCCGGGACTCTTCCCACTTGGTGCTAGAAAACCCTTGTCCAGCTGCACAATAGATCTGTGGTAGCTGGAGCTCTGGATGATGGTGAAATGAAAGGTAGATAAAATACATCGGTATTTAATTGAAACAGCTGGAAGAATCACTTTGTTACTGTAAAGCTTGAATCATTAACATTTTGAGCCATTGCAGCAGTTGATTTAATTGGACCCAGATTCACTGGCCTAACCCGTGGTGTAAATTTGGTATAACGTAATGTAAAAAGTGCCAGTTTCACAGGAGATGAAGCTGGCAAGAAGCAGCAGCTCTTTTATTGTTACAGTGGATTTCCAAGACAAATAATGAAGGCTCTTTTTACTAGGGTGCGGGAGGGAAGGCTGGTTCTCTGGGTATGCGAGGCACTGAGTGTTGAGTGCCCTGCCTTTTGTGTGAGCTGATTTTTGGCATCTGGGTTTGAAAACGCGCGCTTGTGTTTGAAAACGTTACTGTGGGCTTCTGATGGCTGGGCCTGCACTTGAGAACTTCCACTGCATTTCTCTGTGGATTAGCCTTATGCTAATTTGTTTAACACTACTCTTTTTGTATGCTTTCCTGGCAAAAACCTTCCTAGAATTGTTGTGCGGGCAAAAAAAAGCTTTTCCATTGCTGTTTGTTTGCTTGCTGAACTGGAATAAACACCAGAAGGAAAATTACTTTTTAAATTATTTTTTTAAATTTTTTTCCCCTTAAATCAAGGTTTGTGTGCTGGTACTGGGAGGACTTTGGTGGCAGAAATTCAAGGGATGCAAAAAAACCCCTAGAAAAGCCAGTCAGCTTAACTGAAAACGTAAAAAAAAAAAAAAGTGTGTTTGCATACATGACTTATTTTCTTTTTAAGCTTGAAAAGTAGGCAATTTTTTAACATTTGTTTCCTTTCCCTTTCTAGGCTAAAACTGCAGAAGGCTGGGAAGTTGTGGGAACGGTCAGCAAGGCTGAGGATGCGGAAAATGTTCCTGTCATCAGTTGCTGGGAATTTCGGTGGAATAAACCCGTTATTCTAGTAATAGGTATTTCTGCTTACAGAGCTTTGGGCTCGGTGGAAGTGCATGTGTGAGGGAATGATCAGGGTGATGTTTCACTCCAAAGCTAGTTGCAGGTCTCTTACGTTACATCACACTTTGGTCTGGCAAAGAAAGGCTGAGCAAGAAGTACTAGAATGATCTGGCTGCAAATGAAATAGGGACCCAGAAGAAGAGGGGGAGCTGAGAAGCCTCCCAGTAGGAACTGCAGGAACAAACCAGTTTGTGTAGATGAACAGGGAGTTTAGTAGCTGCAGAGGGTCTAGATGGCAGTTTTCAGTGGCAGGGGAGGGGCGGGGGCGGGTACAGCGTGTTGTTTCGCATTGTGTTCTGCGGCGCTTTTGATCCTGTCCTAGAGCCCTGAACCTGGATTTTCTGTGTTGGCGAACCACAAACCTGTGTGAGAGACCCAGGAGGTACGTGTTTGCTCTTGCTGCGCTGAGGCTGTAATGGTGAGCTGTGCCGTGTCATTGCTCTGTCACGTTTCCTCTTAAAAAAAGAGGAATATATCTCTGTGCCCAGCTCTGGAAAGAAGCATGAGGAGCTGTTGCTGGGGATGGTCTGAACACAGAGCTGGGCTTTGTGGCACGGAGACCAGACAGTGGCTGCTTTTGTACGTCTAGGAGAAGGCAGGAGCTGTTGGCTGCTGCGGTACCAGCAGGAGGAGCAGGTGTAACCTCCTCCCTGCCAGACCTGTGCGCTGTTTGAGCAATGGGTGCCACGCTCCCGAGCACCTAAGCTGGGCGATTCCTACAGGGCCCTCTGCTGCTGCCCCCTCTTTGTGTAGTGGATACTTGCAAAGGATGCTGTCTTTTGTAGGCACTTTGGGGTTGTGCAGCCTCCCAGAAGGTGAAGAGAAGGGGAGTAACGGCCCCGTGGCTGCTAGAGAAAGAAATTCACCCAGGAGTGCTGCTCTAGGCACCCTTGGGTGGCCGTGCTGTAGCCCCCCACTTTGTGTCACCTGGCACAAGAGCCGGTTTGAGCTTTTACACTTGGAAGTAGTGTCATGCTGGCGATGAGCCATCAAGGGGCTGTAATCCTGCCCCGTGCTGCGGTTTTCTTGGCTCAGAAGACATCCCTTTAATTAAAATGTTTATTGAACTCCTAGAAATATTGACAAGACAACGCCGCAAATCTGGCATCTCTACAAGATGTGTGGAGCTATATTATAGAGGGAGTAGGGAGGCTGGCAGCGCTGCTGATGGACCACAAAGAAATGCATCCCAGAAACGACGACAACACCAGGAGAAAGGAAGGGGGTGAAAGTGGCAGTGGTGTCGTTACCTTGAATTATGAGAGATTTCTCCAGGAAAAAGTCCAAATATCCTTTTGTCAAGGGAGATTGGAGGCTGATTGGTAGATGCATGAGGAGAGCTCCCGGACCTTGCAGCAGTAATGATTTCAACTCTCTGCTGAGCACTAACTCTTCGCTGAAAAGAAAATTGAACATTACAGTCGTCTGATGCTGAGGTTGTTTGAAGAAATGTCCTAGATCTGAATATGTAGCGTACCTGCAGCTGCAGAGAGCAGCAGAGATAATTTAACATGGTTGTGAGCTTCCTAGCGTTGCACAGATTGTCTTGTAAGTTAAGCATTTGCAGACTTGAATTCACCCTCCTGGCATCCTCGCTGGCTTGGCAGAGAGTGATTTGGACAGTCCGGCTTAATGTTGTCTGCACTGGAGTCATTGCCGAAGGTGACAGGCAGGCTGGCTGCCCTAAAGACTGGGAGCCTTGTGCGAACAGGAACAGATTGGGAGCACTTAGATGTCTGAGCGAGAAGAGTTTCTGGGTAATCTGTTCTTCTTACACCTTCAGTCCTTAGCTTGGGATTTAAGACTGTTCATGGAATTGGTTTTATCGAGACCCTAATTTTGCATATTTCTCTGAACTGCCAGCACGACTGCTTCTGCCTGGGTTTGAACTTCCTGCACTGGAGACTGCAGTTGTTACAGTGGTGTTAATTGTAAATGGGGCAGGAAACCTGTCTTATAATTTCAGCCAAGCTCTAACTCTGGTCTTTGAGGCCTGTCAATGGGGGACAAAGCTAAGAGATGGAAGTCAGAGATCTGAAGTGAGAAGTGTTTTGTTCACCAGTATAAACTAGGATTTAATCTGATTCAGTCAATACTCCCTCCCTCGTGTCACACTGTGCAAGTCTTTTTGCCCTGGATTTATGGTTCCTAATTATTTTAAGCAGCCAGAGCCATAAAAAGCTTTGCAAAAGCAGGAAACAAAATTGCTGCCTTTATTAGGAATTGTAAGACCCTTACCAGGGAGAGGAGAGGATTGCTCCAGGAGCCGTCGCATCTCTGGCAATAGCTGCTGTCCCAGTTGGAGAGTCCCACGAGAGTGTGGTTTGAGAGGCTCAAGAGGCAAATATGACTGTAAGTTGTAAAACTTTTCTGTGTTGAATCAGGACAAAGTAGGATAATACTTGGTTTTTTTTTTCTTGACGCATCCCTAGAGAGCCACAGTCTAGCGATGAAGAGGCAGGCCGGGCCGTGGGAGGCCTGGCTTCGATTCCTTGTGTCACGCAGGCTTTCCCTGCGACCTTGGATAACTCACCCAGGTCTTGTCTGCACTTCTGGCTTAAAGAAGGAAGAAAATAATGGTTAGGATGGGATTTTGGTTTTCTAAAGGTTCACTTAGCCCAGCCAAAGGCTGCTTTTGCCAGTGTGGCTTATTTCACGTGGGAAGGTGATGCAAGATGCATTACCCAAAGCATTCTTTTGCTTGCACAAAATGCATCTTGCCAGTTAGATCAGGCCAACAAGACGTGAGACTGGGCCTCGGCTTCCAGTCTATGAAATGGGAATAACAGCACGCTCCTACCCTGTGCGGTCGGAGGGGTGTCGCACAGATCAGTACACGGGGATGGGGCACAGGACCTGCTGGCGAGGTGCGGTAAGCAGACAACAGGGAAAGAATTTTGTGGCAGCTCAGCCCAGCAAAGAGCTCATTTACCTTGTGGAGGAGTAGTCTCCAGTGGCATAGACAGTGCCTAAAGCATACGTGTATGCTGTTAAAACTTCAGGTAAGTGTCTAAATTTAGGTGAGCTTGAGCGAGTCCTTGGTGACAGCACTGGTCACGCAGGCAGAGGCACAGAAGCCCTTGGTAGGCAGCGTGTGCCCCGGCAGTGCCGTCCCAGGACGAGTCGGGTTCAGCTGGGGTTGAGGTGCGGCTGTTGAAGGGGAACGTTTGGCTTCCAGCATGCTGCGCCTGTTTTGTCAGAGGGTGAGCACGTCTTAGAAATGAGCTGGGTATTCTTGCAGCCGCGTAGCTGTCTGTGTAGCTCTAAATAATGAATGCAGAAGAATTCTTTGGGGAGCCGAGCGGGCTGGGAGGTCTGTGGTCTTCTGCAGGATTGTTTAAAGCCTCTCCCTTTCCATTTCCCTTTGTGACAGTGTGAGTCAAACAACTACTAATGACCTGGGATAGATTTCAACTCTGTTTCACCAGTGTATCAGCCCAAACATATCAGGGCTGTTGGATGGTTTAACAACTAATCAATTGAAGCCTCTGGTTAAACTGTCTGCATTCACAAGTTGCACCCAGCTGGTGGTACTGTGTGCTGAAAAGGCTGAACCCGTCACTATCAGTAGGGATGTGGGATTTGCTGGACCAGATCAGGCCTGTGGCCTCTTTTCTGCCTTGTCCCTCCGGCAGCCACCTGCGTATGTGGGCAGCCGTCTGCTGGCACGGTGGCGGCTTGTGCAGGGGATCTTTGCGCTCAGGCTACAAGGCTCTGTGCTTCACGCTGCGTATGCAGGCGTGTTGCACAGGTATTCCTCAAATACGCTTCAGATACTGGAGAAGAGATCTGGGGAGACTGGAGTGGGCCGGGAAGGGAAGGCAGGTAAGGTGCCTGTCTCGCCTCTGGTAGTTCTTGGCTGTTGCTCCACGGGAGCTGGTGAGGTTGCTGGTGAGCTTAGGGACAAGGGTGTAGTTGTGACAGAGCATTAGCAAGAACTGTACTCGGGAGGGGGGGAAAGGGACGTGGCAGCGGCTGCGAGCTGACCTGAGCAATGCCTTTGTTCCGCAGGTAGTGAAGGTGACGGACTTTCCCTAGAGACGCAGCTCTTGTGCCATCGGATGCTGGCCATCCCCCCTGGCAGAGCGCTTCACCCCGGGATCGAGTCGCTGAACGTCTCTGTTGCTACTGGTAAAAACAGTTCTGATGCACAAAGGCACCACAGCCCAAATTTCTGTATTTAAAAATCAAACAAACATCCAGGCCCGCAGAATGGTTTTCTTGTGGTTTAAAAAAAGATCTGTTTTTTAAATTTAATTTTACTTTCCTACAGGTATTCTCCTGCACTCCATCTGCAGCCAGAAGCTGAGGCACAGTGATTGAATTTTTTTTTATTTGGCGGGGAAGCTGCTCGGTGTTTCATGGCTGTGCTTTGTTGGTGTGGATATGGAAGTGCTCTTCCCAGGGTCTTCACCGTCGCTGCAAGTTACAGGGAAAGCCCCACTGACCTGAGCTGCTTCTTGGCTGACGCACGATACCACCAGAACCCTGGCTTAACGCTGAAGTCAGACACTGGCATGTACTAGGTAACACCTCCCACTGGCAACTCGGAGGAGTGGCTGTAAGGAAGGGAGACAAAGCTAGGTTTTAAAAGCAGACAGCCAAATTCTTCAGTTCTTGCAGTAAAATACCCGGTGATGGCTGCGAGCTTTGTGCTTGTTGCACGGGGGACTTTGTACATCACTCGTGCTGTGGAGAGAATTTGGGCTGTAGGTGGGAGACGGTGCGGTGGGAGACGGTGCTCGGCTGCAGCAGCCACTGAGAGCAGCCGTGCCGCGTGCCCACTGCCCCCTTAGCAGCCAAGAGGGTGCTGGTGAGAACCAGGTATGATTTGGGACTACTTGGCAGCAATTTCTTCATGACGAGGCGGTTTCTCTGTTACATATGGCTGCCTGAATGTCTGAAAACACACCGTCTTGTATTTGGTTGTAAACCAGGTCTGCAGCCCTGCCAAGGATGGACACGAGCTGTTGGAAAACACCTGTAGTGGGGAAAAATGCAGCCCATTGAAATAAAGCTTTTGTAGAGACTGGTTGTAGACTCGAATCAATCCTTTTTGTGTCGTATATAAATCCAGAGTGTGATTAGTAGAACAGGGCACTTCCTTCAGGTGGGAAGGGGAATCGGGAGCTTTGTTGTCTTCGTCCAGGGAAGTTTCCTTTCCATGGTGGGCCTGATCCTACTGGATGCTGAGCTGCCCCAGCACCACTGTCCCCGCTGATGGCAGGGGAGGAGGGGTGAGGGTGGCTTCTTTTGCAAATATCCTGGGTGAAAACCAGGCTGGGTAAATTATTGAGAACCAAATGAATGTTATCACTTAGCACCTTAATTATTTTATTTAGCTACTGTGGCCCTTTGCATAGGATTCCTCATTAACACTTAATTTACAGTGCCCTTTAGGGATAATTTCAAACAATTCAGCTTAGTCTCCCCCCTTCCCCCTTTCCAAATGAACAAGTAAATCACTCAGAGTGACTAATTAGGACTTTCCTTTGAGCTAAATGAAGTCTGTAAACCGGTCCGTGAATGTGGAGGTTTTTCAGATGCGTCCCTGGGAGGGCCTGGCTGGTGGGTGCTGCGGTGGTGGGTGGCTGCGGGGCTGGGGACGCCCCGGGTGCCCGGGATGGGGGACGGGACATGGAGCTCTGCGGCTGCCGAGGCGGCGGGGACTTTCCCCAGCCTGCGAGGGAAGGGCAGATGCGGTGGCGGGCGCTGGGCTTTCGCGCAGCCGATTGCCCAGTTGGGGCCTTATTTCCCTCCCCTGCTCGGAGACCTCTGTGCGGTGGCCACGGAGGCGTCGCGGGGCCACGGCTGCCCCCGCGTGCCGCTGGGGGTCCTTGAGGAGCCCCATGTGAAGGTTTGAGCCCTCCTGGCTTGCAGGCGGGATCTTGCACAGCTTTGCAGTGAAAGCTTTTGCTTTTCAAAGGTGTGGAGTACTCACTTCTGCGTCTGCGGCCGTGATGGAGAGGGCGCCTGGCGCGGTGGCTCGTGTCCTGAGCTGTGTTTGCCCTTTTGCTCTCTCCTGTGGAAAAGGACAAAACCCAAATCCCCCCCAGACGACAGCTGTAGCACGAGCAGGACTTTGCTGCCCAGGTCTGAAGGCGAGCTGGTCACTGAGTAACAGCGAACCGGTGCATTGCTGGGGCGACAGCTCTCGGGCGAGTGTGTAGCACTTGCGTTTTGTGAGCTGAATGGGTCTTTTATTTTAATGCCGAAATAAAAAGGCTCGGGGCCGGGGAGGCTGCAGGCCAGCCCTCTCGCCGGCGCTGCTCACGCAGCCGTGGGTGCCCCAGCAGAGGGTGCCCGTGGCTCAGATTTGCTCATTTTTCAGAGGGAAGATTCAGCACTTGGGGCTGACGGAATCCTTCCTTTCGAGCAGCAGGCATGAGGATAAAGCTGTTCCTTTATTCTTGACCTATAGGTAAGTATATATATTTCCGATTTCATAGGAACTGCAGTTTCTCCTTTTTCCTTTTTTTAATTTATTTGAGCAGTAGTTTAAAAGGCACTTCACTGGTTTTGCGTTGGTTGAGGAAAGCCGGGCGCCGTCAGACTGTGCTTAGCCATGCCGGCTCACCCCCTCAACGAGGAGGCAGGTGAGTAACGATGGAACAGCTACTTTGCTTCTGGAAGGCTCCCAAAAAGCTTTGAAACCTCAGTGCCCCCAGCGGCTCTGCCGACAGGGTGGGTGAGGTAGACGGAAGCTCCCGCAGTCGCTTGTCCGTCAGTCCGGCAGCCATCGCGACTCCCCTGCGAATTTCCCCGTGCAGCCGCTGTATCCACGGAGCACCTTGATTTGGCACTGGAGTATCAGACAAGGCTTACTGAGAGTTGCATGAGGCTTGAATTTTAAGAGACAGGAATTTGAGCGCGTAACTAGGGCTGCAGCTCAGGCTTTTTTGCTTGAGAGCTGCAATACAGGCTTTTGTGAGCGCAGTAAATCCCGCTCCGGATGGCTCTGCTCTTTGCATTTGGCCCGTTTCTCTCAGTGGTAAGTTTTGGCCCCGCTTTGTTTCACTGGGATGCCCCTCTGCCATCGCCCGGCCGGCTTTGGATGTATCTGCCGCGGCCGATGCTTTCTCCTCCAGCCCCGGCTCCATCCTGCTCCGGGCTGAGACCTACGAGGAGCACGGGGACCTCTGCACACTCGCACCTTTGGAGATGGAGCTTTGTGCTGTGCGATTTGCCCCTGATCTAATAAATGCGATCCATTAATTGGATCATTGCCTGCTTCTCCAGTTAATTTCCTGGATATTTTTAAATGTTAAAATGTAGTTTTTTATAGTCTTTCATTATTTTTAGCCTTAAGCTTGACTATAATCGTCCCTGTAATGTAACTGTAAAAAACTCCCGGCTTTATATCATAAAGGAGGACATTAATTGTCATTTTTTGTGTACATCAGCAAGATCAAAACATGCTTCCTGATTACTTCTGTTTGTACATAGTCTCTCTGATATTTAGATATGAATAAAGTGTGTGTGTGTGTGTGTGTAATTTGAAAGTCAATTCTTCCCTCCCTGCCTCTAGTCATGGATTCCTTTCAGAGGCTTATTTACCAAATTGATTTTAAAATTCAGTAATTGCCCTTCCAAAATGATTTCTCAATAATCAGAGTGTCTCTAAGCACAGTGGCAAAATGTTTGTCCTCCTTGGTTCAGAAGATGCACTCCGCGCCTCGGCCTTTTTATCCTCAGATGAGGGCAAACACAAATCTCTTCATCCCCCAAAATCGACTCCAGGGAGAACTGGCTGCCAGAGAAGCTCAGCTCGTGCCCCAGATTTCAGTTTTGTGCACAGATTATCAACACAACCGAAAAAATCCCCTTCCGTCAAATCCATCACTGGGTCCCAGTCAGGTTTGCTGAGGCTGGAAGGGCTTTGGGACAGAGAACACCTTCTTTGTCTTTGCAAAGCTCGAGGTGGTACCGTGGCCGAAGGTCCTGGGGCCGATCCTGGCACCCGCTGGGCTGGGGCAGGAGCGGCCGGCGCTAGAAACGCCGCCCAAGGGGCAGCAGCTTCCTCGCCGGCGGTGGGGAACCCTCCGCCGCGCCGCAGCCCCAATCCAAGTTTGTAAATGTAATCAACCTTGAGGTCTTGTTACTTCCACAGGTGCAATTAACATTACCATCTGCTAATCCATGATTAACGATGTTTACAAATATGCTACAACATGTTAAAATCTGCCGGCACTCTTTTTTTTCCCCTCCC